ATTTTAGTACTGAGGCCTCTTCACTGTAGCTTTCCAATCTCATGCATGTCTGTTTTGTTTTGATTTCTCTTGCTTCCTTGCTCCACTCTTCTGCACTGTGTGACGAGCCCGTTAGTATGTGAAACTTCTTCAGACTTCATCTTAGATCCATTTGCCTCTCGACAGTCGCTCTTGGAGAAGACTYACAAACACACAGCAAAACCTGAGAGCAGCGAAGGAGCTGACGAAGGCAGGTTGCATAGCAGAGAAGGCCTAGCAAGCCTGGCATGGAATTGTGCTGGGCATCCTTGGGAATGCTTCGGGATGGGCTGTCCAGAGGACTTCACGTCCTGCCAGCGTTAAGGCTTGTTTGGAGTTGCTGTGTTTGTTCTCCAGCCTCCTCGGGTGCCCTGGCCCCGGGAAGGGCGTCCCGGTAAGCGCGGCGGGAAGGACAAGCGCGAGAGAAGCTTTTGTAGTAGCCACAGTGTCCTCTGCCTTAGTCATCCCTGCCCTTTTGGCTCCTTTCTGCCATAATTGTCTGGCAAGTCAATGGACTGAATTTTTAACTCAGCTGTCAAGATGTCCCTCACTTTTAAATGAGCCCTCACCTAAGTTTAYTGCTGTAACCCTCCTTCTTCTCTACTCCTACCCTCGCTTGTTGTTTTGTGTTGAATTTTAGACTGTAAGTTCTTGAGAACAGGGGCCTCCACTCTTTTCTAGTGGGAAGAGACTAGGTGCAATTCCGGCGTGCTGTAAAACCAGAATGATTAATGCCAAGAGGTATGTGTGGTGAGTAATGATGGGACAACATATAGGCATTCCATGGCAAGGCTTTGGGAAACTTGCATTACAGATTTTCCAAAATATGGGCCTGGTTGTCAAGCAGTGCCTCGGACAAACCCAACGCGAATGAAAGGGCGCGCGGGACTAGTGCTCCGGGGTGGTGACAACTGCAAGGCTAACGAGTTAAGAGTCCCATTTATCTCTCTAAAATTAATTACGTTATTAAAGTGGTTCTGAAAGATTTGTGTTCCGTTGTTTGTTTTACTTTGTATTTTTGCAAGTTTGAACGGTGGTAGTGGATGAGCTGGTTTTGTTCTTGATCTCTCGTTTCCTGCTTCATAGGCAGGCCAGGTGCTGTAGCTTTTGGACATCAATCCCTTTAATAAAATACTTGCTTTTAGGTTAAAGTTGATTTGAAAAATGGAGTCATCTCTATTGTTCTTCAGTTATATCTTCACGAAAGTGAAATATGGGCTCACATTCGACCTCTGAATGTGCATTTGAACAGTTACCAAAATGGAAGTCTGCATTTTTTGCCATGCTCTGGGTTCCAGGTGTTGCTAAATATATGCAGTTTTGTTCTACAGAAAGCATATTCATTACCATATTTTTACTCTTTTATATTTATCATTAAAATTCAATAAAATAAGACCAGTCTGACTACTGCTTGGGTTATTTTTGATTGCTCTAGCCTAGAGTTGAGTTTCCTATCGGAGACCAGGAATCACAGCTCTAAGCACTCTGGCTTTGGACAGGAAGTTAATTACAACATACTGCTCCAAAAGCTTTTTTAAAATTGATGTAATTGCTAATTTTAGTTTGCCTTTCCTTTTATGTAAATTATTTTTAAGTAATACTGTGAATGAGCGTTTTTGTGTAAGATAAAGTAATTTAATCTGTAAATGGAGGCTGTACTAAAGCATCCTTTCTTGGGTTGCCCTTCCAGTCTTACCTTAGATGTTTTCCTGCTTTCCCCATCCTGGCTTCATCTGAAGAGGAATATTTGAGGGAGAAAAGCAAGCTGTTAAAATTATGCTTTGTTGCCATGTGTTTTTTCTTTCTTTTTTGGGTTGCAAAAAGTAAATATTTTTAGGCAAAAAAGGCGCCTGGCGCTGAAGTCTGGGGCCGATGTGGCGCATGCGGCTGTGTAGTTCCCTGGGCCGGCCTGTGGTCCAAGCCCGGTGCTCGCCACGGCCTCCTGCCTTTGCCCCAGCCCTCCCTCGCAYGCTCCTAGTTTCCCCTGCTGCTGCTTCCTGCTCTTGGCTCCCGTGGAGCAGCCTGGGCACAGGGGACAGCCGCCAGCACCGCCGCTCGGCTCCATGCTGGTGGGGCCCTGGCAAGCTGGGCTGCAGCTGGCACTTGCCTTCCTTGCTTGCTAGCSATCAAACTGCCCTGCTCTAGTGCATGAAGTGCCTTACACCAGGTGTTTGCACCACCAGGCAACAACCCTGCTTTACCTGAGCTTGTCCTGATACCTGCTGTGAAGGTCCAGAGGCTTTTTCTTTATTCTTTCATTTTTTTCAAGATAATTGCAGATTATAGCTGGTGATGTCATGTGTGACACGCTGTTACACAGCACGTAACACTGACTTTAGCTTCCAGCTGAAACCCCCTGCACGTGGCTGTTTGCTCTGTTATTGGGTGTTGCAGGTATAAGTGCTGTCACTTTTTCCTAGGTCTGTGTGCAATGTGTCAAAATAATTCCCAAAGTCCGGCCTCAGCTCATGGTCCCATTACGTTTCGCACATGTGTRTGTAAGGAATTGGAGCTGTGTGATACGAAATGTTAACCTAGCAGGGTTGAACGCCAGATGTGACAGCCTGCCCCGTCTGAGATTATAACCTGACCTTGTGTGACTGAGAAATATATCTACAGATTTTACTTAGGTTTGGAAATCAAATCACTCGGTGTGTGAGTTTATTGGGATAGAGCAGGACTGTAGTTTTYGACGTTGCATGCTTGCGTTGTTGCCCTTAGGAATAAAGAAGGGTAATTACTAGCACCTTGCCATGTTGCAGCAGTCATAAATGCTTTGTAGGATCCCAGTGCYGTGTGGGTGCTTCCCAGCAGTTTCTCCTGGACCTCACAATATGATGTTTAAGGTTTTCAAGCAGGGTGGTTGCTGGGTCGACACATGATTCCTCCTCTTGGCCAAAGGCACGGAGTTTGTCCTGGGTTTGTCTGTGTGCGGAGGTGGGCAGCAGGGGCACCCCCTTTCTCGGTGCAGAACCCCCCTCGCTGCGTGGGGAGAGTGGAGTTTCAGCTAGGAAGCCTGATCCTGTCATTAGACATGGACAGATTGTGTTGGATGCCCTGGTTAAAACACATTACAGAACTGATTTTGCTCTGTGTAGGTGGATAATGTGGTGTATTTTATTGCCTGGGTTTGATATAGGGGTTGGAGCCTGCTTGCCTCCCCCACTCCAACTGTATATTTTACTTTATGCAGCAGGCTAAGGACCGTCTTTTACCACAACTAACTCCCAAGTTGCTTTATTCCCAGATATTATACCTGCTGTATTAGACCTTCAGCTTCACAGCTGATAGCTTGAAGATTTAAAGCACGTGTACCTCGAATATCTCTTATCTAGGACAGGTTAGAAGCGAATATAACTAACTTCTATTTGCCTGTAATGCATTTATTAGTGACAGTAAAAGCTGTAGATGGAAAAATGATAGAGCGGAGCCCCTTTTGGATAAATAAAGTGTTGGGCTTGGAGTGTAACTGTTCGTTATAGCTTAATTTTAATGCAGTTTTAGGTTTGTGGGTATGTGCTGCCTATCACACACTTTACTACAAAGCGAGCACCTCCCCAGAACGTGAAGGCTGCAGGGTGCAAAGCAGCGCGGAGCTGTCGGCAGCCTCTCCACCCTGCACCGGGTGCCCCTCTTTGGGTGCTGTCCGTGGTGCCCCTGGGTGCCCCTTCAGCCCCAGGCCCCTGAGGGGGGAGGTTGCGAAACGKGTGTTTACTCCAAGCACACAACCTGCTCGGCCGCAATTACCTTCTAATCTGGGCCTTCCGAGTTTCTCCGGTCTCTCAGGTAAATACAGATTTAGCCATTATTCAAGGCATATTATTTACCTCATTAAGTGTGTGTTTTGGCACGTGCATTATTTACCTGATGGACTAACGGATAGGAACGAGCAAATGTGTCTTTTGTGCAAATAGCAGCTTTGTTCGCGGACCGCGAGTCTGCTGCCTTCCATGTTCCACCTTTCATGGAGAAAGCGAGAATGGGTCTGCTCCAAGGAGAGCTCCGTGTCCCCACGTGGATGGGATGCATGTGGCCTCCTGTGCCCCACATGACCCTTCTTWCCACCATGCCATGGTGCAAGGCCATGTCCTTCATCTCCTGGCCAAGCAATTCCCTTTGCATGGGGGTTACCTCCTGGCCTGGCTGTGTCCTTATATCCACGTACCCTATGTAGATAGGTAAGTATATACATGTAACAGACTAAGTGAGAAACAGAACCTTCCCAAGACTATGGCTGGGTGAGATATTTTTTTTTCCTCTGATTAGAAGGGAGRGAGACCTATTGCATCTTGCTTTCCTAAAAGGAAAACTTGGCCCTGGCAGTTCATATTCGGGATTGGCGCAGCAATTTCCTCCTCTGAAAAATGTCTGAAGTAAGAAATCTATTATAGCAGTAATGTCACATCCGTGTGAAACCTGGTGTACGTGTGAACCTCTGTGGAGGGTACCCTATAGCCAACGAACRCGTGGGTTTGTAAGGGAGCTGGGAGGTCTGGGTGAGGCTCTTCCAATGCCAAGCTGTTTTGGTGGGTTGTAGTATTGATATGAGTATTACTGTGTTTAATTCCTGCCACATTTTGGAAGTTTTGATGTATATGAAAAGACTAAAGGCTTTCCCAGAAATTTCAGTAATTTCTGGATCAGACTGTATTTGCTGAAGTGATTTATAGTGTATTCTGCTATGATCAGGTTCAATGGGGATGTGTGATCTGGCACCTGGAACAGTGATTGTGTCTCATAGCTCTTAATTTAGAGCTATTTGCAGAGGTTAATTTCCAGGTGCCCGTGCTTCCAGCCACCTTGAGCCCCATCCAAATGCCACCTGTCGTGCTTAGAGCAGGTTACTGTGTTGCTGCAGATTTCTAATGCCGGCCCTTCCACCGGGAAGCGCAGAGAAAATCTGTGATAGCCAAATGAGGATGAAGAGAGGGATAGCAGAGGTGAGATGTATATGTGCCTAAGTAACAGGAGTCTCTCTTCAGTTTCAGATGCCTCTGGATGTTCAATGGTAGCACTCCTCCATACTGGAGCAGCCAAGTTTCCCCGCACGTTGCTTCCAAGGGTGAGACAAGCTGTGCGCTCCCTCCTCGCGGCTGGCGTTCTCAAAGGGTACGGCTCCATCGTAAGCAGGAAACTGGCGTCCCACGGCTTTGGAGCTTCCATGGCAGCAATGTCATCCTTCCCTCCACAGAGATATCACTACTTCTTAGTGCTGGATTTTGAGGCCACGTGTGATAAGCCACAGATTCATCCTCAGGTAAATAGCTGATCCTGTTGATTCTCCCTTTGCAAGCTGCTGCTGCCGTTCTGGGAGATGGTAGGGAAAGCCACGATGCCAGCTAGCTCGTTTTCCCTGGTTTGTCCCGCCTGGCTGTTGCTGGTCCTCCAGGCCTCTTATCAGTCCGCTGCTCTCATAAGCAGCGCCAAGTCCATTCAGTGGGAATTAAATGAAGGACCCTGATTTCTATCAAGGAAGTGAAAATTCATGTTATCAGCGTGTTAGCAAAAGCACTTTCCTAGGTCATGTATGCTTGTCATCTGCCTGAACTGGGGAGGGGTGTGAGATTGCTGGCTGGGAAGCTATGTTATTTGCATACTCAAGGCAGCCTTTCCTGATTCTGCAAGGAAAAAAGGCTGTTACTAGCCAATGGATTTAGAAATAAAAAAAGTTGAGATAAAAATATATGCAGAAATGCTTAATGGTGCCTCTAAGTAGATGGGAACAGTAGTTCTGAGCTGTCTGATCTTGCTGCATTTATCTTGCCTGAGTGTTGGCTCTGGAGTCTAATAAGTTAGGGACAATTCAGCCTCAGAGAGGTTTTCCTAGTGCCTTAACTCTTAAGACAAGCAATGATCTGGGTTAAGTGCAGAGTTTTTTCAGCAGACAGTTCTTTCATAATGGTGAAAGGCAAATGAGTCCATATACTTTTTAGTGCCCAACAGGGTGGACATGAGGGTCACGTTTAAATTGGGAAAGCGTGATTTAACAAAACAAAAACTGATAGTGGATTGGTAACAAGCGAACAGATTTCAGAGGCTGTACACTGATTTCAGACTTGATCTCCACCTCTGTAGCAAGCAGCCAGCAATGTGCAGCTGYCTAAGGATATGTCTGTTTGCTTTGTTTCAAATATGCTGGAAATCAGGCAATTTCTAACATGTCTTGTTACTGAGATGAGTTAGTGCAGGGAGTCTGTTTCCCAACGCAGCTGTGGTTTCCTTTGGGCTTGTCCTGTCGAAGGGATGCTACGGGTTGGGATCAAACTTGGGTCCCCTGCAGTGCATGCTGCTAGTCYCATGTTTCCTGAAAATGGAGAGCAAATCCCTGCTCTTCTGCGGGGTCTTTGTGAGGGATGTTGTGTCTCTGCCTCCAGTTGTGCCGGGAAGGTCTTAACTGTTCTCCAAGTGAGATGTCAGGCTATTTCCTATATGCTCAGCCTCGGGTGCACAGACCTGTCAAAGCTGTAAATTGGATCTACCTTGTCCCTTTGGATATGGGCTTGGTCTGTGCACATTTTGATGCAAAACCATGATGCATGTGGAGCTAGTTTACAGCTGGCAGTAAAAAGGAGCATGAGTGGAATATGATTACTACTGTTTTAAGGAGCTTTGTCCCCAAGTCCTTGCCAGGGAAAGTAATGGTCTGGGCCAATGCAGATCTGCTATATATTTTGTTGGCGGGATAACACCTTTAAGGTAGAGATGTTCTTTGGTGGTGTTTTTCCAGTCTGCTGTGTTCAGTGTCAGTGTGTATCGTATCTTGCGTAGCAATGTCTGTCAGTCGCTCACATCCTCACAAACAAATTACTTTGACAAATAAAGAAATGGTTCTGGCTCCGCTAGAATCAGTGTAGCTGGAGAGACTGAAGCTGCTTGCCTGAATTGGACGATTCTGCAGAAATGAAGCTCAGTTGCTGTCCCTGCCTGCACCTTTCCTCTTTGCTGGCCAGATGAGTTTTTGCCCTGCTTGCTTCTGAGCTGCACCTCTTGGTGAGCAAACTGTGCTGTGCATGGCAGCGATGCTCCGGGCAAGGCTTTACGGGCAGGTTCCTCCCCTGGAGCAGTGACACACGGTCAGATAGCAGCGATGTGGTCTGAGGGCAGCAGYAGTCAGATGTTGATCTTAAGTGTGATCCCGGCTGTTTTTCCGCATTTGTTCAATTACAGGTGAGAAACAGCAAAATAGAGCCCTAGCAGGTGATGCAACAAAATTCCAATGCACTGCAGTTTGTTGGTGAGGCAGCTGCTTGTAGAGCTAAGCTGTGGTCCAGGTTACTTTAAGTGGGTCATCGTAGCTCTAAGCATAGCCAGCTTGGCCTGAGAGTCTTGCAGGGGCCGTGTGCCACCACACAGCAAGGCTGYACATCTCACTAACTACTCTTTAGAAAATTCCTGCTTATTACCAGAGAACTAGAGAAGGAGCTAAACTTTCATCTATGCTAAGGCGTTTGACTCCGCCGTTTGTTCTCCTTCCCACAGCATCTGCTGGTGGTCRGAGCTGCTTTGTTGCCAGCAGCCTGGCTAACCTTATCCCTGGGAGATGTCCTTCGTGTCCCTTTCAGAGCCCTGTAGATTCCTGCCTTTCCCCTCCCTTTCACACTGAGGTCTCGTGGCGTGGCCTCCGCACCAGGGCTYAAGGAGGGTCAAGAGCAGTGGTGGTCCCCTAGAAAGCTGCCTGTGCTGTGACTCGGCTCCTGGGGACACTGGCCGAGTGCCGCGAACAGCTGCCCTTTGCTTTATCACTCCTTTGGCTGCTGCGGAGGCTCCTTAATGTTTCCTGTCCTACATCCACGGGAGGATGACAGTGTTGGGAATGGTAATTGAGAGCACTTCAACAGGCCAGCCTGTGTCCTTGCTGCATCTTGACGGCTTTCAGCAGATAGGCTCCCAAAACAAAGCGTGTTAGTGCAGAGAGGCAGCTTGGCTTTGGGGCTTTATGGGCTTATTGATGAGCAATGAGGCCATTTCAAAGACTACACAAATTGGGGAATTTAATTGCATTGCCCCCAAATGTAAAAMACTGAAAGAACAGAGGTGCAATCTGTGTCTCTTAGTGTTTTAATCAGCTGCAGGTGAGCTGGTGTGGGCAGAGAGGGGTGGTCATGGCCCCTGGTGCCTCCTGAAAGCTCCTTGCAGCCAGGAGAGCCATGTACATGGGGCCCTTTAGACACAGAAACGGAGACAGRGACACATGTTAGTAAGCGGGAGTGTCTCTCCTTCCTTTGTCCTTGTAGACCGTGGCGTTTACGGTGGCCCGTGGTCGAGCTGCAGCTCCGTGTTCGGGGTTTTATTGGGGCCGTGAGCGTGTGCCCCGCTCGGCGCGAGCCGAGCATCCCRCTCCAACCCCAGCGGAGGGCAGGCAGCGGGAGCGTCTGCAGTGCAAAAACTCCAATGACAGAGATCACATCTCTGCAAAGCTGAGTTTGAAACTGGGCCTTGATTTAGCATGTTAATCTCTGCTGCYGCCTGTTAAAACTGCTGAGGTTAAAAGCAAATAATACTCCAGCTTGTATACGTTTGCTGCCTGAAAGCTGGAATRAAAACCAGACCCCAGAAGTGGCAGGAGTCAGTGTCTCGGGAGGTGGAACTAGAAGTTGTTGAAATGCTAAATGAGCTGTTGATGATGATAAAGATTTTTTTTAATGTCAGTTTATTCAGGTACTTGACTTCAGTCTCTCAAATTTAATAATCTTTGGGGAATTTGAAAATTGCCTCTTTCAATCTCTGTGTAAAAGGAAGGTGTGAAACATTCCGATTCTGTAATACTGAGGTTGTAAAGGATGTTGTGAACAGAAGCAGCTAAAGAATTTAAGTACAGATGTTACTTTCCAGTACGTTCAAAATGCAGGTGTATTCTTTTGTACAGATATGTTTTCTTTAGAATATYCTCCATATTTCAAGTTTAACTGTTCCTTTTAACTGTTATTTTTGTAAGTTTCTTTTTATTTTATATAAACTGCATATACCTGCTAATATAGAATTTCTTTCACTTTTTCAACATAAAACTGCAAACATTGAGACTACGGATAAGAATGTTTAGCTGCTAATTTATTTGTGCATATGTGTGTGTGTATACACACACACACATGCAATGTATGTGCAGATATATTTTCTGTCAAAATTGTATTGGCAGATGAAATTCAGCCTTGCTTTAAGGCAATATTAAGTCCAAGTGCAAAACGAGGGTGAGTTGCTTCCAGCCTGTGTTTCCTTGAATGCTCGTGTGCRTGAGTGCCGAGGTTGTTTTCCCTGGACATCGGGTTGTGCTCCCGAGCTGTAGCTGCTGAGGTGACGGCCACGCTCGGTGTGCTCTGCTCCGCTCCGCGCTGGAGCAGGGACTGAGTGATGCGCCTGTGATTTACACACTGACCTTGTAATGGGAATGGATGTTGATTCCTCCTGAATTTAGGGCTTAGCCGTGGACGTGCGGTCCCTGCYGAGCTGTGTGCTCAGGGTAAACAGGGAGGGGATGGAGGAGCTGCCTCTGAGCCACGGCCTGAGCTCGGGGGAGGTTCTAGGTGGAGCGTGTTGGGAATCAGGGACCAGGAGCTCGTGGCAGGGACCAAAGCAGCAGCAGGTTCTTTCCTGAGTGCTCTTCGAGCCGTGCTCTGTGAAGACTGCATTAAGGCAGTCCTAGCTGAAGGCCAGGATGGGAAGGGTGGCTCTCAAAGCYGCTATCAGAGAGGTTGTCACAGTCCTTCCCAAAGGCACCAGTGGGGATGTGCCGGCGCTCACCTGCCCTATCGAGACRTTCCTGTGCAGCAGCTTTCTTCTAGCACGGGTTTTGTGGAGCTGGGGAGCTCAGTGCMTTGGAAATCACCTGCCAAAACCTGTATTAAAGCTGATTGTGAATTGCTGGAAAGTGAAGAAATTGAGGCTTGTTTCCCATGGCAACTTTAACTCGGTGCTCTCGTGCATAAGTATTACAATGGAATATTAATCCGCAATTACCTGTGTTCATGCAGCTTAGGCCTGGGTGTAGTTTTAAATACCTAGTTCTCAATTYGGCTTTGTCCACTGTTGCTACTGTGGGAGCACCAGTAAAATGTGTGCAACACACAGGCTTAAAGGCTTTTTTTTTTCACTCTTAGTAAAAGTATGTATTATGTTTTTGCCGATTGTAGCTTGCTTTACACCCTTTATTTAATGAAACTGCATGGCTGCTGTTCCTGTGTTGTGATGGTTTAAGTTCCTAGAGTGGTGGGAAATAGTTCATGTAAAAAATATTTTAGATTATCTGTCTGTTCATGTTAATTT